ATCATTACCTTATATCAACATTAATAAAACCTTCATTTCCTGCTAATTACATTTGTGATATAATCAGTATTCACCAATTATGTGCCCACATCGACATCTGCTGAATCTACCAGGTTTAAGACGTCATTTATTTTATTGCATTCCGTCTTTTACAAAGTCATTGAATGTCATTGTGCGTTTTATTTCTACATCAAAAAATAAAATTGATTGCGTATGTGACAATTTATAGAATTCCTCCATGGTAAAATGCGAAACTTTAGTTCCCAGCATGATAAAAAGTACCTATCTGTTTTTACTTGTAACACACGGCTCTACATAATCTAACTGTAAATTAATTTTTTAACTTTATTGTAGTATAATACAGTGGTACATACATACGATTAATTCTAATTTGTATTGAGAGGTGCATTTCACTTGTGCGTGAAGTCACCGAAGACAGTTTAATATGATGTAATAACCATCATTTCCTGGTGTTTTCTTAATTGTTGCCGTCACAAAGTCCCTCTAGTGGTTCCAATATAGATATTTTTTACGTAGGAACACGTGTAGAAAATACGAAATAGAAATATTGTTAGACGTCAGAATGAAGAAAACAGGAACATCAATTTTCCAGGTATCATGCACATGAAGCGTAAATATAATCACAATCAAAGTACATTGTATTCACCGGACCACTCCATTCGAACAGTCAGGCTGTGAAATTTGTGATCAATGACAGAACTTTACGGTGAAACATCATATTGTGTGATCGATAGCAGAAATAGTATACAAACATGAATATTGGAAAAAATCCATTCTGAATTTAATCTATATTTAAAATGAAAAGACTCATAAACCAGAGGCGTAGCTAGCCCAGCAGTAATGTGTAAGCCCAGGCGAGGGGTCATGAATTTCATGATTTCAAAGATGTTTTGAATCGTATTCTAAGACAGTTTTTTAAAACTTATTTAGCAACAAACTTCAACCCCTGATATTTAGTTTCAACCTAAGTTTTGTAATTTTGTCCGACATACTCTATGCACGGATTTTTTTTATGTGTAAGCCCGGGCTTTTTCTTTCTATGGAAGCTACGCCCCTGTAAACTTTAATTTCTGGTCGTGCAAAACGTCGAACCCCTATGTTCGGAAGTAAGCACTCTTCTACCCATCCATCTCATGTTGAAATATCTTCTACTGCATTTAATCTTTCGCGTTTGCATCTTGTCGGTGTTGAATTTGCTAATCTAAATGAGAAAAGCAAAAAAAAGAAAATATCCATTTTCATATTTGTAAGGAAAACGAGGTCAGATGGGGACAAAGAAATCAATTTCAGATTGATGAAGCAGAGATAAAAGGACTACAGGAATTTAGTTACGGATTTGGAAATGAAAAAAAGGGGTGTTGGGATCCAATTTTGGATTGAAAAATGGCAAAACAGAATGAGGCTGCATTATTCAATTAATAAGGTGGAAACTATTGCAGGATCCAACATTATATTGAAAAGGAAGAAAAACAATATATTATCTATCATTAGAATGAAAAAGTGAAAACGGAATGTAGGATCTAACATCAAAAAGGGGAAAACGGAATGTAGGATCTAACATCAAAAAGGGGAAAACAGAATGTAGGATCTAACATCAAAAAGGGGAAAACAGAATGTAGGATCTAACATCAAAAAGGGGAAAACAGAATGTAGGATCTAACATCAAAAAGGGGAAAACGGAATGTAGGATCTAACATCAAAAAGGGGAAAACGGAATGTATGATCTAACATCAAAAAGGGGAAAACAGAATGTAGGATCTAACATCAAAAAGGGGAAAACGGAATGTAGGATCTAACATCAAAAAGGGGAAAACGGAATGTAGGATCTAACATTAGATTGAAAAATGGAAAACGGAATGTAGGATCTAACATTAGATTGAAAAATGGAAAACGGAATGTAGGATCTAACATTAGATTGAAAAATGGAAAACGGAATGTAGGATCTAACATTAGATTGAAAAATGGAAAACGGAATGTAGGATCTAACATTAGATTGAAAAATGGAAAACGGAATGTAGGATCTAACATCAAAAAGGGGAAAACGGAATGTAGGATCTAACATCAAAAAAGGGAAAACGGAATGTATGATCTATCATTAGATGAAAGGTAGGGATAGCAAACGTAGCACTGAAGGTATAATTTAATGTTAGATTGAAAAAGTATGTGAAAAACGTGATCTCTGTTGTCGAAATTCAGATCGGGATAAGATAAAGGCGGTAGGATTGGATTACAGAGTATACTGTATCGATTAGCTGTAGATGGTCGTTAGAAGATACATTATATACTTAAAAACATTCATCAACAAGAAGCGTGTCCAAAAAAATTATTGTTGTTTACCCTATATACTTCAGAATGTTTATAGATACCAAACATGTCAGGATATAAAATATATTTCACGCTATAATCTTATAATCTAACGGATCTTTTTATTCAATTAATGACATTTCCTTGTGTTCATGTGTTACAGAATTCGACACGATTATTTCAAGATTAAGGGCCAGTCTATATCTGTGTTATTTTGTTCAATAGCACATAGACAAATCCAATTAATACAAAACTGAATGTAACAGAGTCATTACACGTCCGTAGTGACACTAACAAACGATCTAAAAATCAATTTTATTGATTAAAACTTGAATTAACATTATTAGTTAAGCAGGTGACTACATATTTAGTTTTGACACTAACGACCCATAGACACGTGCTGCAATGATAGATTTTCAATAAAGTGTTAATAAATAGAGATAACTTGGAATATGATTTCATAAATCCGTAAATTCTCAATATAAGGTGTGTGACACTAACGAATAGGATCTATCCATAAAACTAAGTGTGAATATTTTAATTCTTACCTGTGCTGATTGCAATATTTACCTGAAAAAGATAAGTTATTCGTCGCAACAGGTATGTGTGCGTGACACTAACGAACGTTTTACGGACTTCGGACACCTGCAGTGACCATTCATGGCACATTGACGCGCGCAAACTGACCAATGGTCTATAATAAGTAAACAATGAGCTATAATTTGGACTAAAGACGAACAATTTTTAAGATAATCCAGGTGATAGGTGTTTCTAAGTCCCTGACACCTACAAATGACACCTGTTTGTTTACCTGTAACACGTACATGTTTACCTGATCAGATCCGTCCTTGTCTAAACATTTAATAAAAAAGATAAAGTAATACGCTCAATTCCTCGAAACAACAACAATTGCCTTTGAGAAGCGTAATACTATCCTATCAATTTAGAATTTGGTCTGCCAAAGTTACTATATCCATGAATGGAATAATCATTACGTTATGAAGAAGTTATGTACATCTTCAGTATCAGTGATATTTCAAAGACAGAAAAAATGTACAACGATATCAGTAACACACCTAAATGGGACACCCGTAAATTCAACAACATGCAGAGGAGCTTAAATAAAAATGCAATCAGATTATTTTACAAATACTATGCAATATTTCCTAATTCCCCTCATTTATATGTATTCTTCATTGTTTAAAAATGCCGACAATAAAAAATATACACTGCGTTGAATTAAATAGTACCTCTTGACATCAGCAAGGGACGTCCCAACATCAGCCAGATTTATTGAGGTTACATCTAAGAAAACGGTTGATAGTAAAAATGGGACTTCTACCGCCTTGTGTGCACGACTCACATCTTTTTATACAAAGATTTAATTACACTGCCTAATATATGTTACACCTTTCAAACTAGCGATAAAATATATCTACGCTCAAATCCCTTCAGGTTGTTTTATAAAGATGCCAGTTGGTTTTTTTTTTTTTTTTTTTTTTTTTTGTTTTTTTCTTTTCTTTTTTACCTTAACATCAATCATAAAATATTTTTACTTCAGATTTATTTAACTTCTTGGTCATTCAAATGTTCTGTTTCTCCGTCGGAACTAAATCAAAAAGATCTATTAAATATAAATTCAAAATCAATTTCTTTGTTATGTCTTGTTCGCATATATGAGAAGGGTTATTATTAACAGGGATGTTTAATCAGATTTCACCGTCATCAACTAAAACATTGAATTTTTCCGTCTGTATCTTTATATGCATAACTCACGTCTTAGCTAAGTGAATGAATTTATTATTTTATGTATGTAAGTTATTCCATGTAAAATATTTAGCCAATTATATTCTATCGTCCGAATCAATAAACTGATCATGATATAATTTTCATTGTGGATGTCATTCATTGATTTATTTCTGTCTATTATTATTTTTCTATTCTGTTTCGTTAAGTATAGACTACATGTTATTATATAGCTGGACATTTCCCATCTTAATCTATTTTTAAAAAAAGTAAGTATCAGCTCCATGGTAACCATTTTCCTGTCGCGCTTTACATGGTTAACTGATAATTCACGTCAATTACGGGTATGTTTTTTCTGTGTTGATTTATAAAGTCAGACCAACAAGTACATGATCACAGGCGAGATTTGTGATTTAAACTGACACAAGCTACACAACCATTACTTGTCTATTTGTCAAGACCCCTCCCTAACCGCTAATAAGGCGAGATACACGGTCACTTACCACGCCCACCTACAAATGATCGCCCCATTATTCCTGTGTTGAGCGAGACGGCAGCATTGGTTATTCTATTAGGTGTGTAAGCTGTCCTCTGTTTACATACACCCAACAGCCAATGAAATCACTCCATATTGTAAAGCTGTCGACAGTTTTCAAATAATTGGTTAAATAGAAAAGAAGAAAATATTGTTACAATTCAATAAGATCGCTTTAGTTCTCACTACAAGGAGTCATTTCTGGTGTATCGTTGGAAATCATAACAATAAGACACACTGGGTTATATTCGTGTATTTAAAATATATTTTTATTTAAGTGATAGATTTATTCAAAAGCGAACATCATGCTTGAGGACATTTAAAACTGAACATCCGTAAGATCTGTTAAAGCGCAAAGTAGTATTGTATAGTGATTTTTTTTTCAAACACAGTGATGACTACCATTTCTCGGAACTCCGGCTCTTCACCCTCTCGGATACCTGCCCCTCCCAAAAACAGGAAATCATTCAGCGTGGACAGTATATTGGGCCGGGAAACAGATAGTTCTTCTCCGGAAATCTCTCAACAATTTACTCACATGAATGGTAAGTGTGGAAAAAAGAAAAGGAATGACAAAAAAAAGAAAATGTTTCGAAAAAGATATATCCTTTTCATATGAGAATATAATACACAGAAGCGGTATACTAAGAAAACTATCATATGAAATGTATTTTTTTAAATTTCTAGTCCATAAGTAATTTTCAAATATATATGTTGAAATAAATTAGACACGATAGTGATGTCAATACCATAGGCTCAATTTAAATAATCCAAAATGATTTTCACACAAATGATTGGTTTTGTAAGACATTCTGTTGATAAGTAAAGGAAACATTCACGGACTTTATGACATCTCTGTGCCCTCATTTAATCTGTCTCGTGTATCCCCTGTTTTCATTAAAAATTCCGATATACTAATACAGTTACATGTATTATATATATAAAAAAAAACTATAGTCGTTGAAATGATAAAATAGTGTTGCAAATGAATCGATTTAATCATTTTTATTTTAATCACGATAAGCTTAGTCAAATGCACACAAACTATACCAAAAAACAAGACGAATATTTATGTGAAAAACAGACATCTTGTTTTCCTTTATTTTCATTTCAAGCATATTAAAGTTTTATTGTCTTTTTAGTGTCTATTCTTTTGTATAGTTCCAATTAGAAGGAACAAAAACGTTCTCGTTTTAGTGATACTTTAATTTTCTCCTCCAATCTTGTAAATAATTGCATATTCATACATTTTTTTTTCTATTCAAAAACTGCTCAAACAATCTTTCTCCGCTAACTCTAATAACACATTTTTTTTTAAATTCTCAATACCTTACCTTTGCTCTTTATTTCATTTTTTATCGTTAAAATCTATACTGATGAACCGTGGGCGATAATTGCGAGCTGATAGATTTATCTAAAAAAAAATCCGATGTTATGTCACAGGTAATAAATATAATCATGCAGATTTAGCTGTAAATGTCAATAGGTCACTAGTGTCCGAATTCGTCGTTAATAAAATATATCTTAGTACGTAAAGAAACATACAAATTACACGAGCTAAAATGCTCTCTGGGTGAAATGGTTGAGTTAGTTTGAGAATGACGATATACTTATTCACCGTTAAACAATTTCTATTATTAGCATAATAATTATTATTAGTTTATTTTTCTTCTTATCTTTTTAAGTTTTAAATTTAAAACAACTTATAAAACACACACGAACAACAGCGTATTACAGCGTACCTGAGAAAAGACATTGGTTCCTTTAATTACTTAAGAGTTTGATTTTATAAAAAGAACCCTTTATTGCTAAAATGTAAAACTATGGGGCGATTTTGGAGAGGCATTCCATTATTTTCTGTCTTTGTATTATCTATTTATAACGTTTTGTTCCTCCAGCGTCACCTGTTTGCCGCGGCCCTCAGAGCCCCGTCCCCCGGGATTCTACAACAGATTGCGACAATTCAGAATTGTCGGAAACATTTTCAGAATCCACTACTCCGGAGAAAACAGACCATATACGGGACAGTCACAGCGACACATCTCTAGACACTCCGGATAATGACGTGGACACTTCACTGGACAATTGCGACGACGACTCCGGACTCGGAAACAAGCCACGGAAAATTCGTAGGAGTCGCACCACATTCACCACATATCAGCTTCATCAACTTGAGAGAGCTTTTGAAAAGACGCAGTACCCCGATGTTTTCACAAGAGAAGAGTTGGCAATGAGGTTGGACCTGAGCGAAGCAAGGGTTCAGGTATGTCAAGTGACTTGTATTTTATGCGACTTCAGTAGATTTTTTAACCAAAGATAATTTTGAATGGCGTACAGTCAATTCAATTGATTTTGCTCTCTAATCGCCACCTTTCTGAAATCTTAACCAAAGTGGCGTTATACCTATAGCAAGTCTTTATGATATCATTTTTTAATCCCTAGCGAATCCCTTAGAATCATCAATGACGGGTTTCTCTAAATTAGCTTCACACCCATAGCTAGTTTCTAAAAAAATCTTTACAGCCATAACGAGCCAGTATGAATTAACTTCACTCCCATAGCTAGTTTCGTAAATAATCTTTACTTTTAATCTTCATTTTAGATTACATGTAAAAAAAGCTTTACACTTGTGGCGAGTCATATGCGTCCTCTACAATTAGACTAAACACTGAATTAAACTTAACATCTATTTCGTTTCCTTAAAAAATATTTTCAATGATCAAACCATTCCTTATAAATATGTCTGTCACTCTAACGTGTCTTTCTTACTTAGTTCCACTACTCTAGCTAGTCCAGCATATCCTTACATTCATAACGAGTCCATAAAATTTAACTTTTGCTGCCCTTATCAACATTTAATTTTTTTCAGATAAAAGATTCCTTCTAATTTCATTTAATTTCTTTCCCTAACAAATCTTTACAAATTCGCTCCCATTAAACATAATATGATAACTAAATCGCCTAGTAGCAACCATTCGTTCACTACATCAGAAAAATATGTAGTTACCTTAATTACATATTGCAGTTCTAGTTTAATCTCTGCTTTAAACGCGCTGCGAACACAAGTTGATGTCGACATAATTGTATATATATATATATATATACTCACGTTTCCTATTTTTCGTTAAAATATACACTAATTATTACCTGTTGGTAATGATTTATTTAGCTCACAAATAATTCCTGACGAACATAGCATGATTAACAAACGTTTTACACAACGCATAATGTATACAGAGCATTAAACATACAATAGCGAAAGAAAAGGATCCACCTGTTTGCTCAAAGTCTGTGATGTATTTATGGCGAGTCTTCACGAGGCTTTCAGAAAGAATTTTGCTTTAGATATTATCAGCAGGATTTTCGATGTTCACACATTATCCCATTGTTTGTTCACTTCTGACAGGAAAGTTTTTCCTCGTTATAAACCGCTGGAAAGATTAACACCTAGGCATCGTAGATGACAAAGTCACACTCTTATCCGCCTGACAGAGACCCAGCCTGATAATACAAAGAACACTCTATCGTATGGTGTATATTGTATTCGGGAAAATAAACATTTAAATTATAAGCGTATGGTGTGCAAATTTAAAAACGTAACCATACATTCATGTCAAACACATATATGTACGAAATTGACCACACACTTCGTGCAACAAAGTGACGAAGTCATCACATCAAATTAAGGTAAAGACACGTGTACAAATTTGACAAAGTAACATCACAATCAGGTAAAGACACGAGCACAAATTTGACAAAGTAACATCATATTCAGGTAAAGACACGTGCACAAATTTGACAAAGTAACATCACATTCAGGTAAAGACACGAGCACAAATTTGACAAAGTAACATCATATTCAGGTAAAGACACGAGCACAAATTTGACAAAGTAACATCATATTCAGGTAAAGACACGTGCACAAATTTGACAAAGTAACATTACATTCGGGTAAAGACACGTGTGCAAATTTGACGATATGACTTCTCGTTAAGGTGAAAATGAAGTGAGGAAATTGACAAAGTAACTACATTGGTACGTTAAATTGTGTGTACCAACTCGAAAAAGCAACCAAATCCAAGTAAAAAAGTGTACAAACCGGACAAAGTGGCCATATAACATTAAAAAAATATCAGGTTACAGACTTCGTGCGATAACCACGCATTATCTAAAAGTAAAAAAAGAGCCTACAAACCGTACAAAGTAACCACACATTTAGGTAAAAAATTGGAATATTAACGTGAAAAATTACAAGTAACTACACAGATAAAATTAGGTGCACCAACTAAAAAAAGTAACCATATATCCCACTTAAGACTTATGTCTTAAAGTTTGTCAGTGTTTAAACTGAATGAAAACACAATAACAATACTACTTACAATGATATATTTTCAGAAAGATTCTTACAAGAAACATTAATGTAGACAACAGTATCTAGACAAAACAACAAAATGCCCAGATAAATATCACAATACACTTTCAATTTGACAAATAAAATAATGTTTCTACCTTCTTTAAGATACCATCCTAGATCGACAAAAAATTTGTCTTATCTTCCAATATTCCCAAACTTCCCATCCTCGATTAAATAAAAGCACTTTATTGGCTACTCACTTTTTTTTCTCTAAAACATAACACAGCATCACTATCAGATAAAAACAAAATTGTCATCTTTTATTTTTACAAATATTTTCCTAAATTTTTCAAATTGATTAAATATATGAAGCTAACACTTTTTAATGAGAGTATAAAAAAATAAAACATATACATATCAATAGTGTTAATTCAAACTCAGAATCGAGGAAAAAATTAAACGAAAGGACGAGGTGGTATTTTTTTTTGTTTTTTGTTTTTTTTTTTGAAAACTCATTACATTCATATCTTGACTTATAGTGATATACTTAGACACAAACAATATCCGTTAACATTAATATTATTAACGTCATTTAATAAAACGAAAATTCAAAATACAAATGAAAGAATATGACAGATCAAAAGCATTATACAACCACGTCCATCAACTGTTATTGTGACAGTGTTATAAATATATATATATAATTACCATCATTTCTCAAAGATTATGTTTAAATAAGTCCGCCTTTCGCTCGTGAATATTATGTAGATTTAAAAAAAAAAATTAAACTTGGTCTGAACACAATGAATTCTTTGGAAAATTTGAGCACTTTATTGTTGGTCGCCTTTACGATAACTTGGGGTACTTTCGTAGGGGGAGGTTTGAGAAGTGGGAAAAAAACCCAACTCTACTCTCAATGACATATTCTATTATACTAGGGTCGATTTGGGCTTGGACAGGAATTCTAGATAGGAACTAGATGTATGTCAAGCAAATATATTACAGCTTGATTATAAACAAGGTGGAATCCGAGACAAATCACGGGGCAAAAAATGAGACTCCAAACGAAAAGGAAGCATTTCATTAACCTAAAAACCATTAATTTCACAGAAAAAAATTGTTAATGAGGGGGTTAGGGTTGGGGCAAAAGTCACTCAGAAAATGTTTTAAAATTTCGTTTACCATGAGGAAGAAGAGAATAATAATGATAAGAAACGGAAGGTGACGGGAATAACAGATTCATAAACAATATGTTAGCAACATACAATTTATAGCTAAAGTACAAAACATTAGACATAGGACCTTATAGGTAAACATGACGTACAATGAAACACTATAATTCTAGATTATATACTCTAAATGATAAAGTTACAAAGACTTGTCTGATTGAGCAGGTGTAAACAACGCCACCCATATTTTTGTAATTAATACTATATCATCATTGCACAAGAAACGCCATTGTGACAGCATTACTGTAATACAATACACAAAGGGCAGTCTTATTCATAAAGTAGTCGACACAGTAAAGACAAGATTATTCATCGAACAAGAATGTTACAAAAATTAACAAACAAGATGGAGGCTGTTTTGAAGTTATACAGACTGACCAGTGTCCAGTCATGGTATCAGATACAAACACGGTCCACCTGTGCTCTTTCCCACACATATTACACACCATCAATGCAGTAATTACACAGATGAGTTTAATACGTTCTTTTGTTATTATCGAGTGCTACAAAATTGGCGGAACGGAATTAAAGATATCATAGAGCTAAGGCGAGACTCTCGCACTAGGAGGGACCTCGGAACAAGTCCACAGATCATGTGACAATGATGAACATTGAGTCCCCCGCCGTCTCAGTACAGGAGGCAAACAGCTTAACAGGAATTACTGCGGACTAACTTGTAAATTAAGAGGATGGAATGTTTTACAAGCTGTGTAGAAGTACTCTGATAATCGCTTTATGTGAACAGAATTAAATTTTGTAAAGTTCTCAGCTTGACAGTAATCATGGGATAAGTAAAACCACAGTAATGGATTTCTTCCAGAAAAAAGTAAGATTTGTACTCTAAGTATGGAAAGTTCACTCCCTTACATTAACATCATAACATTAAAAGTCAACTAATTTAACCAAACCTATTGTCACCAAGCTATATAAATATTAACACTTCTGTGCAATAAATCGGTTATTAGAAATTTCACATCACGATGTCATAAAGTATTCATTGTAATATTACAATCGATACTATATTCAAACACTGTTTTTTTTTTAATTACATTATTTGTGCTGGTGACGACTATTGTCCTTATTAGGCTTTGTACTCTGTATGCGACACCTGTTTTAAACGAAATTGCTCTTAACCACCTTTATGTAGGCGATAATCACGATATAACTGTGGGAAACGGTGTTAATGTGCGATTCACATACATGTAATATCTTCTTCATTACGGTCAAATAAATTAATGCTTGATTATGTAAAACAACTCCGAACGAACACTATACAGTGTGTGACAGTTATTGGAGAAGTTAGACGGACGTTAATCCTTAAGTGTGAAATGATGGTAGACTATATCGTTAGTTTTACCTGCGCCATTCAATATACCTGTTATTGATCATCGGCCTTAATTTGACCGATCACTACTTGTAATAGGAAACTTGGCTCCAAATTATCATTCATAGATCTAATCTGTGATAGAGAATAGGATTTACACATTACATAAGCACGTTTTGCAATGTATTAGGTTAAGAGGTCACCTTCGTGAAAATGGTTCGAATCTCCAAGACTTACTTTCAGTTGTTCACTCTTAGTAAGCATTAATTTGAATGGATGGCCGATACTTACAGAGAATGAGATAAATAGTGATTATATGTGTGCATCACTGATTTGGTTACAATGATGTGGTGAGGATGTGGTGAAATGGGAGATAACCCGCGAAGGATTTTTTATGGCGGTTATTAAATTTTGATAAATGTTAATGATAACGAGAGGCATCCTCAAAAACTTCAATTCTATTGCGCTATCGGTTTAAAAATATTTGTATTAACCTTATCAACTATCTCAAGAATGTTATTTTAAAAAAAGAATGAAATTAATGTTCAGATAAACGAACAATATGTAATTGATAACTTAAATGAAAGTAGCATTTTTATGCAATGCAAATTATATATACATTTAGCTGTGATTGATAAAATAAATGCAGAATGTGTATTTAAGTGAAACACGGGTTTTTGAATATTCCGTAAATGTACGATAATAACCGTGTAAGAGATTAAGTCGGATAATCACAACATATGATGATGTAATCAAAGGTTGTAGATAAAGTTTCACGGGTCCTAGCTTATATACAGTTATCATTGCATATCTACTCTTTGTACAAATGTAGACCTTAGCGATCTGGCACATGCTGTTCAAGGGCTGTTTAGAAACAATTACTGGAGAGCGAAATGTTTTAAATATGAATCAAACAAATTTAGGAACATTTTTCATCATTTCAGCGCTGTAGATTTGTTGAGACATTAAAGGCAATTATCAAGTTAAAATTATGTAATAGAGAGAACATGGAAAAAATCATATGAAAATTAATCTTCTTGTCAAGGTTAATTGATTTTCACTTGCCATCCTTCCAGAAAACGCCAGTGTATGCATGAAAAGTGCAAAGTGCGTTATGAAAATTCTCCAAAATAATACATAGTATATAATTATGTAATTAAAATTACAAAGTTAATTAGAGTATTTATGAGAGAGAAAAAAATCACAGCAACCGCAGTAACACTGAACAGATAATGTCGTAAAATGTAACAAGTGTAAATTGGAGTAATATTCAGCCCGTTTATATCTGTGTACAGTTTATTTAATTCTTGAAATATTGTCAGGTCATTACTAATAGCCATGTTACGAAAGAGGAATCAAGTCCACATATAACTGTAAATTACTTTAAAAAAAGAATTAAATAAGAAAAAACAATACATAAAAATGTTCAGGGAATAAAAGAAAGTTTTAGTATACAAATATTATTTGCGACAGATATATTTGGCAGGCAATGTTGATGTCATGTTGTTATTTATAAGGTATATTGACCAATTCCTTTGGTTTCTTGATCATCGCTGCTTTAATTGACGACACCATGCTTGTACAGCAACCCAGTGATTCCTTATATCATGTCGTGTGTTCGAGATTCTTAACAGATAATTGATTATGCCGCGAGACTGAAATTGGTTGCGAGTTGAAACAAAAACTAATTTCCTGTAGAAATCAGAAGCTGAAGATATTAACGTGACATTGGCTAACCCCTCTTAGTAAGTCGAATGAGATAAACGGTAAATATAAGATCTACCTAAGAATAGCATAGCCCTAGAAGCATGGTTTGATGCATCGTTTGACAGGAAATTAATCAAATTTGGAAGATACTTCAACTGTACAAGCAATTTTGCAGTTAACCTTTTTTGCCTGTGGCACCCAATAAAGAGATTCATAAACAAATGAGTCTGCTAATTACAATGAAATTGGGCAATCAGGCGCATGATATTGATGTTTAGATAGCGAACAGTGCCAAGGGCCAACGGGTCCAGTGTTTGACGCGGCTGCTGCTGCTGGTGTTCTCTGACAGACTTCCACAGCGTCACTAATTCAGTCACACTCTCACGATATTTAATCTTGAATGGGCGATGTAAAACGGATTCAAAATTTACATCAAAAAGGTTTTACTTAATTCGCTTCAAAACATAGATTTTTCTGTTTTATGGGAAATTTTGTCTCCAAAAGTGTCTCTATTTGGTCACCATGTCGTTAATATTACTTTCGACAAGTAGGTATCTAATTAGCAAAACAACCAATAGGAGACGTTACCCAATCCATTAAGAAATGCAACGTTTTATTTCGTATGAAGTGTAACTGTTTTATCAAATGAATTTACGTTCTGTATTTTCAGGTATGGTTCCAGAACCGGAGAGCAAAATGGAGAAAAAGGGAAAAGGCTCTTGGTCGCGAGAGTCCAAACTTCCTTCAAGGAGATTCAGGTCCTTCTCTTGCAGACCTTCCTCATATCCCGGCTGGGAGTGGCTATCCTTCACCGTCTGATCCATACTGGTCGACGCGACTGACACATCTGACAGGGGTAAACCCTATGATGGCTTTTCATCAAAACAATATCAGCAGTATGGCGGCAGCTCATTATATGCAAGGCAAAATGCCGTTCGGTGGACTTCTAGCTAACTATGTTGTGAACACGAATTCATTCGGAATTCCAGGAATCTTACTGGGTGGAGGAATGCCGGGGGTACCGTCATCATCATTGTTATCCCCTACATCTTCACGGTACAACATGGACCCTGAATCTCTTGACCTACGGAGGTCAAGCATAGACAAACTTCGTTTAAAGGCAAAAGAACACTCGGCTTCTACAGAAGCAGGTGATCTTTCTCCGTAATAGATTTTATGACAATCGTTTTATTGGTTATAAATGCCTTAGAAATGCTTTAAAGGTCCAAAGTGAATTGTGCTTGTATAATTACTTACGGCGTATCGATATTCAATGTCAAGTTAATATTGAGAAAGTTGTGATATGATTCAAGTTAAGTATTGCAAGAATGAGTCTTCCGGTACATCAGTTTGATATCATAATGAAAAGTTATAAATATGGATACTTCACGCTGTAAATGACAGAATTACGCATCTGAATGAGAATGAGGTGATGCTTTAAGTTTTCACGGTACAAACAGCAGGGTTACCGTATATCTAAATTCTGATGTGACATGCTTAGTACATGGTTTCCACATTATCTAGTCATTTGTTAAAATTGTTTTCTTATCTATATATATATATATCATAAACATGAATATATGTGCTCTCTCATTTCATTATGAGCGATATGATTTTTTTTCGAAATCTCACATACGATATACCTAGTTCTTATGTGCCACATACTTAGCAAGCGAGGTCATTTTAATATCAAAATTGTAAATCAAAATTAAAAGTAAATTTGATTTAAATGAATCAAAAGAATCTTTATTACTCTATTCTCGGCGCCAATACGGTCAAATAATGACTTTGACGTATCATTTATAATTTAATCATTTTTATTGTCAAATCTAGACATGGGATTAGGTACAAATTATACTACTTATCATCGCCATCTCCCGTAATCAAAGTCTCACAGGTTTACGTAATACACATGTCTACAGAATACAGTGTGTCTCGCCAATAGACCCGATAAGAAAAGCCATCACATCACAATCAGATCAAATATTTGTTTTTTTAATTGTTGAATTATATACAGATTCGTTATGTATTGATGGTGTTAAGTGTCTGTAATAAAGGATAGATGTTGTAAAACTGAGTCTTTTGTATTTAGAATACTTATAGAATAACCGATCTGTAAACACATTTAAAGATGTTTCAATCCTAAAAAATGTTCGGTTTTAATGCTATGTATGCGCGTCATTGCCAGCTTTGGGACGGCTAAATTGAAATGATATAGAAAAAATTAAATATCAAATTGAAAAAAAGACTGAAAGGTATGTAGATATTTAAAAACTGTAAACTCATAGTCGTAATAGGAAAATTTATAACTAGTCTCTGTTTCAGAGCTACATTGGAAAAGAGGAGAAAATACCCATGTAAGACATATTAGACGGCTGCGACATTCTTCTATAAAAACTGAAATTCTTTTTGAAATCCGTTTGATAATTCAGAAAGTCATTACAGCAAAATATGACTTATAAAAAGTAAGCATACCAGAATTATCTGACTTAGCGCTGAAATATCAAACCAAACAGAGTAAAAACAAAGAGATGAAACTCTAAAGTTGACACAATACAAAACAAAGGAGTTAATATCAAACCTGAGACAAAAGAGAACAAAGAAATGGAATATAGGGCATGATAAAATACAGAACAAAGGAATGATTATAAATCCGGACACAATAGAGGACAAAAGAATTCATAATTAATCAAACCTATTCGAAATTAATGACAAATAGAAGACATATAGCATGTAGTTGACAGATGACATATGAAAAAAGATGACATATAGATGACATAAGACATGCATAGGAGTGATGACATATAGAGTACAGATGACATATAAAGGCCAAATGATATATATATGACTCGACAAATAGAGGAAAGATGACCAATAGAGATGTGGGATAAAGGGGATAGATGGTATTTGAATGAGACATGACAAGCGTGATATATAGAGGGCATATGCTACAAAGAATAGATATGACATATAGAAGACAGCTGACAAAAAGAGGGTATACATATATAGACATATAGAGAACAGATCCCATATAGAAAAAATAGAGGAGAAATGACAAAAGGGGACAGGTGACAAAAGAGGACAAATGACGTTTAGAGAACAGATTGTATATAGAAGGCAAATTACAAATTAAGGAGACACGACAAATATATGTCAGGTGACATAAAGATGACAGAAGGTATAAAATGACATATAAATAACAGATTGTACATAGAAGACATATGACAAATAGAGGAGAGATGACAAAATGAGGACAAGTGACAAAAGGGGGACAAATGACCTATAGAGAACAAATTGTTTATAAAAGGCAAATGACAAGTAGAGGATGGATGACATACAGATGTCAGGTGACATAAAGAGAACAGATGATATACTGACGACAAATGACATATAGATAACAGATTGTACATAAAAGGCATATGACATGTAGAGAAGAGATGACAAAATGAGGACAGATAACATAAAGAGGACAAATGACATAAAGACAACAAATTGTATATAGAAGGCATATGACAAATAGAGGAGAGATGACATATAGATGTCAGGTGACATAAAGAGGATAAGTGGTATAATGACGACAAATGATATATAAATAACTTATTGTACATAGAAGACACATGACATGTAGAGGAGAGATGACATATAGATGACATTTTGCATGAAGAAGATGGATGATAAAAATAGTGGTCAGTTGAAAAACATTTCCGATGTAAAATTCGTTAGTTAATGAATGATGACCTTTAGGGAAGGAAATGTAGGATGAAATGACAATAATTACACTACCAACATCTACTCATACTGAGATCAGCTTACGAATAATCATATCAAGACCGAAATAGTTTTAAATTTGATTTGATAGAATGACGTGTAACACACGGCGCTGGCTTCAATCTTAAATGTTTTCGGACGGAGTTGGCTGTTATGGATTGATGTGGTGATTTCGTAAGCGATAATCCTGCTCCTTTCAGGAGTTTTATCCGTCAGAAAGCTCGATTCATATATGACGTTGAACGATGTTAACTTGCCGTATACTGCATGCCATATTTTAAGTTATACGAATACTGGCACGGTTTAAGACATACATTTATTTGAAGTTCTGCTAAATAATCAGATATATGAAATTTACTGAATTATGGAGCTAGTGAGTAAACCCATCAAGTTTTGACATTTCTTTCGATCACTTGTATTTTCCTCAGTCGACTCCTAATTTTAGGTCCCTAGCATCACTGACGTGTCCTAGAAAGACGAAGCAATGTAATTTGACCTCTTGAAAGAAATGGTAACACAGTGTAGACGAAAACTCAAGAAGAACTTTGGGAAAAGTCAAAGGGAAGCTCTAAATAATGCATTTGAGGTCATTTCTAAGTTAGCACTATGCTGCTCTGATAGAATTAAACTGGTTGATATACAACAAGGTGTAATCTCCTGAGATAGCCACTTAACACACTGTCTGTTTTTCAAAATATGTCAAAGACAATGCAACAAAAGTTTACATTGGTCAATCCAAGTAAGTAATGTCATTTTCTAAAATGAGAGCTAGGAATACAACAACGAAACCAACTTGCATATCAAAGAGCATCAAAAACTTCAAGTTTCATATCAGACAAAGATATAAAGAGACAAAACAAAGAGATCAAAATTACGAGCGTAAAGCTTCCCCACAATTTTTTATCTAATTGCATTTTTTAAACCCTGTATTACGAATTCGTCCGTCAGTTTACGACTTCTTGCACGAAAATCGTGATAATGGAAACATAGCATTGAAACAACTGCAACATGTAAATACGAAAGCCTGGGTATGCAGGAACGTTCCTATCCAGAAATCAAAATTTAACAATAGGGGAATTGAAATCGTCACGTTAAACATAAATCATAAAGCTGGCCATGATGGTTTCGTTGTAGGCAAAGATCGAGATGGGCGGCTGATGTAGAAGAATCTGTCGTGTCTTTGCTTTCCAGTTCTGGTGGGTATGTACGAGTGACGTGGTTGATCTTGTTATTTAAAGACAGTACGTCACCAATATATCTGAAAGTTAAATTAAACGACTTTGCAAGGTCTTTGTGACCTGCTTTGTTAAGCTATTTCGCCTCGTATGAAAGTAAAAACAAGTCAACCAATAGCGGGGCACAGTTGGTTCCCGTAGGTATGCCAGCAGTCTGTTTGAAGATCTTACCACCAAACTCGACGAAGATATTGTCAAGCAGAAACTCGATCGTTTTTATGATTTCCTCCTCCGTATATTACTTCTTTGATTTGGACGCACTTGTTTTTAAAAAGAAATATGCTTATTCCCTCTGGATAATTTCAGTTCAGCAAAGTGTCAAAGATTTCTGAAAATTGTTCAGGATCAAAAATGTAGTATATAAATCTAGAATGTCTTTTATGACTTGGATCCATTTGATACAGAGCCAGTTAACTCTTTTTCCGAAGATGTCAACATGTAGCAGTATTAGACTTCAGAAGATTGCAAAAGATTATCAAATCAAACGGGAAACACTGTGTACGGCTTATTCATTCTCGCCAACATGACAATCGTTGCAAATTGGTTGGGACGAGGACCTGGGTTTTCTTTTTTGATTGTTCAACTACAGAGAAAATGTATCGGATTCCATCTATGAGTGACCCGATTCAAACGTTTTTTATTCATATTTTCAAGGTGAGGATTACAACCATTCCACCTTGTGTTTCATCCCACAGATGGCACGTTCTACTTTGATCTGATAAAGAATAGAACGACACATTGTAACAATTTCCGTTAATAATATAGCTCACCACCAACATAAAAAGGTTAGACAAGACTGCCTCCGAGTCATAAGTAGAAACATGAAAGGTCTCATAAAGTTTTGTTCTTCTCTTATCCTGCTGAATTTCCTCTCTCGTCTATTCCTTCATCTCTTGGTGCACGGGCTTTCATGTCGTCATCTACATTGCCATTAAATTTTCTTGATCATAAAAGCAGATATAGAGCATTGATATCGTTTCGGTTTTGAAATGATAGGTTGTAGTTTTTCGGTACTTACTCTTTTACTGAGGCCCGCACTAAGATAAGATTTGTTTTGCCTTTGCTCGGGAGTAGCGGAACTCTGTAATTAGAAATGGCCGTTTATGTCCATATATCATGAAGAAGCTCCACCCCCGACCCCCCACCCCCTTATCGTTAAACTGAC